TTTATGAACTATAACTGAAAAACAAAAACAAAATTGTGTACAATGCTCTTAAGTGTTACTACTTCAGTCATCTAATTTCTACATTTAATGACCATGTACTATGTATGAGCTGAGCACTGTGTCAGGGACACAGAAATGGTGAAGACATGGTCCCTTGGTTCAAAAAACTTACTCCCCTAGCCCCTAGTTCCAACATGACACACTCAATAAATTCACAGTTACATATTAAAACCTTAAGAAATATAAATAGCCTCATGAGAACTTTGCTTCACAAGCTAGCAAATATAAAGTAGTTGAAAATAAAATATCAAAAACACTTGATTACTGATACAAACATATATAATTTTAAAATTGCTATCACTTTTCTATATTAATTTTAAACCCTGGCATTCTCAAACTGAGTATCATTTCCCTTTCTATGATAAGGCTGTAAGTATAGACAGAAGTCTAGAGAGGCTTTGAAACCACAACTTTGAAAAAAGAGTTAGAAAAAGACAAAAAGGAACTCCCTTTCTATACTGTTTAATGAAACTTTAATACAAGAAACACGATTATTAAAATTTCAGAGAAGAATGAAGTATCATGGGAAAAATAATGAGCTTACATTAAAAAAAAATCAAAAGGATCCCCTGCCTTTATTAGAATGTTAATAATAACAAACAAAAAGTTATTATTCATATTACTGTTCTTTGAAAAACTTGTATCTATAAACATTACAGACATATAAACAATAAGAAAGTTGGAAGTACTCTGATACACTACAAACCTACCTGTGCACATGATTCTTCAGGTGTTTTGGCACTAACTGAATAAAGTGCTGGGAGATCAAGTCTGTGCACAGAGAATTTTTCTAGAGTGTGCAAAAGTGCTGGAGCAAGGTGAGAAGTTTGACCTGAGCCTCGTTCTCCAGACAGCAATAATCTTGGCCTGTAAGAGGTTGGCTGATGATATGGTGACCTATAATACACATAAAACATAATAATTATTTAAAAACCATACACTCTGATCAGCAGGCAGCACGTTAGTCTCATAAAAACCATACACTATAAAGATCAAAATATTTACATTAAAAGAATGTAACTCCAAATTAATAGAACTTTCTTACCTTATTTTTTTAAGTACAGTGAATCATTTTTCATTAATTATGGTTTTAAAATATTGATCTCTGACAATATTAATAACCAAGACATAAAAGTATAAAAATCCATTCTAAAAGAAGATAAAAATACCTAGGTATTCATCCTATAACACCACAAATATTAACTTGGAAAATGCTTCAGACATTAAGTGTGATTTAGTTATTAATTATCCAAGGACGAATGTTAAGAATCCCACTTCTCCAACAAAGAGGTAACATCTAAAACTTACTGTAAATATAGAATTTTTTTGTAACACAGTGGCTAAGATGGTAAATTTTATGTGTATTTTACCACAATTAGAAAAAAAAAGTAGGGCTTTTTCAGTGGCAGCAATTTTGTTTCTGGGCTAATAAAAACCAGCAATTCTTACCATAATATATGACATCAAAAGCCCTGCACCAGAGAAAGCAAATTTAGGGAAATACACTGACCCAAATTCAACTTATATTCTTAAGATTGTACAGCAACATTAAAGTGAGAAATAAAAAAATTTATCTAATACCCCTACAGGTAATACAGGAAATTCTAAGCAATGCAATAAGAATAACGCAAATTTTAAAAGTGGAATTAATGAAAAGAAATAGGGTAAACTTGTTACTTGTAAAGAATACAATTATGCACTAGAAAATCCAAGAGAATTAACTAATAACTGTCATAGTCTACAAGCAAAGTAACAAGACTGAAGATGGAAAAAGAAAAACCAAGAGACTTTCCTAAACACCACCAATAACAAATATAAAGGAAAGGAGATCCTATTCACAACTGCAAAAATACAAATGATAAACAATATTAAATAATCTTAGCAAAAAAAAAGTGAAAGTATACAGAATACATGACAGTACCTCCTCTAAAAATAAATAAATAAACCTAATTATCTCCCCTCCCCAGAAAAAAAAAAAATATATATATATAGATGTCAATTCTTCCAAGGCATTTATAGTTAGCTATAATTAACTATATATTTGTAGACCTTTACCTTATATATTTAATAATCAAAATCCCAAAAACTTGGGGGAGGAGGTTAAAACTTATTTGCAACATTATCTAAAAAAAAAATCAAAAACATTTTGGAAAAGTGTGCTAGCTCCAATTTTAGAACATTTAAACCTATTGTAGTAACTAAGAACTTCATATGGATTCCTTGATTAATTTTCTTAACAATCCTATGAAATACATAGGTTTCCTCTTGCTAAATAAAGAAACCAAGTCCTATAGAGGTTAGGTATAAGACTGTACAACTGGGTGTCATATAACTGCAAAGCCCATTTCACAGAACAAAATGAATTCCAACACAAATAACTTCAGAAAAACAAAGGTTAATGTATTTTTAATTCATAAAAATCTAAAAGTTTTTTGTTACTCAAAAATTACAATCTGAGCCAACTGGCAAACACCCAAACGAGACAAAGAATCTGCCATTAACAGGATTGGTTTTTAATGCTTAAGGAGCTTGTGTTCACAATGTTTTAACAAAAAAATACCTTCCTGTGCAAAGGACACAGACAATTAAAAAAGAAAACAGAAATAGGCAACATTTTGTAAAATATGTTCATTTATATCACAACTGTAGAATGCTTCCTATGCTAAATAGTCCAGGATATCCAACAATACCACTGTTATTATAGAGCACACAACTCAATGCATTTATTGGAAAAAGAAAAATACACAAATTACTATAATTCAGTATGATTAATAAGTATCACTCTTTAACTACAAGGTGCTATTAAGAGACTCATAGATGGCTTCCCTGGAAAAGTGATGTGAAAGGACAAACCCAACAGACTGGAGGCAGAAAAGATGAATTCCAAGAAATAAAAACAGCACATGCAAAGGACCAGAGGCTAAAAAAAGCCCTTGTCCCTTTTGGGTAGTGGATATAGTTCATTACAGCTAGCTTCTTCTATGGTTTTAGAGCAATGAGGGGTAAAGATGATGGGGTAGGGGAGGGGAAGGGGGAATGAGAATCAGATTGTGTAGGGCTATAAAGGGTATTGTGAGCCATGTTAAACACTGGAATGTACACTGGAGACAATAAGGAAGCTCTAAGATGCTTATGTAAGGGAAGTGACATAAGCATATACATGTTTCGGAGGGTAACTCTAGCTCCACATGTCAGTATAGGAAAGGGTTTTGAAAGAGGACAAAACAGTAGGAAAGATGACCAGTTTAGGGGTTTGTTATAATAATCAGGTATGAGATGTTAATGATAGGGTACACAAGAACAATGTCAAGAGGAGGTGAGAAGGGATAGCTTTAGATTATACTTATTTAGTAAGGAAAATCAATAGGACTTGGTCACTGACTAGAAACAAAAGAAGAAAGAGGAAGGAGTTGAGAATGATGTCCAATTCTAGTTGGGACAATTGAATGGATGGGAGCTCACAGGACTCACAGAAAGAGAAGGAGAGACACAAGCCAGCATCTACTGAAAGATCTGTGATACAGCAAAGGGAGATAGGCACCTAGATAGAGTTTAAAGCTCAAGAGTGAGCTAGGCTTGAGAAAGACTCGGTAGTTATTAATAAAGATGAAAAAATAATGAAAATATTGAGAAACATCTTATATCTGTTAAATTGATAAACTAAAAATTATGTCATTATTAGTGAGTAGATGGGAAAACTGGTATTCTAATGATTAGTGGGAATGGGAAAAAGTATAATTTCTGAAATAAAATTGGCAAATATGCCAAATATATACGAAAATGTATATCCAAGGACATCCTGCAATTCATCCCATTCCCAGAGACTTCCTTACTTCTTAGCATTCTCTACATTTTTTTCTATAGTACTTATCTTCTAACATTTCATCTAGCATGCTGATTGTTTTTTTCTCTGTCTTCATCTAAAATGTAAGCTGAGTAAAAGAAGGGATTTTAGTTCATTTTGGTCACTAACATATTCCTAGTACCTAGGACAACATCTGGCACATGATGGGCACTTTGACAAAATGTCTGTATGAATGAATGAATATATGAAAGAACAAATGATTCAAACAAATAAGAAGATATTATTTTCATCTATCTAGTTGGTAAAGATTTAAAAAGACAAACAGTGCTCAGAATTGACAACAGTATAGAAAAAATAACCCTCTCATTTTTTAGTGATGCAATGTAACTGGTACAATCTTTCTGGAAGGCAATTTAACCACCTCTATCAGGTTTTGAAATGTGTATGTGCTTTGACACAGCAGTTTTTAAAATCTTACCTAAGCTCTCAATCAGAAAATGGTGTAAAGATATGTACTTAGAAAGATGTCTGTCACAGCACTGTTTATAAAAGAGGAAAATTGGAAGCTTCCATTTTTATCAAGATGGTTATATAAATTATGAAACATCCAAAAAAATGCTATTTTAAAAGAATGACATTAAACATATACTAACATGAAATAATATTCCCAACATGGGATGGGAAGCAAGTAACAACAACAACCTTATAGAAGGAAAGTTTTATATAAAATAATATGTGGGTCTGTCTATATCAATAGAGAATACAGACATGTGGTCCCCAAAATACTAACAAATATTGCCTTCAGGTGCTTGAGCTTTAATATTTACTTTCTTTTTTATGCTCTTCTTTATTACTTGAATTTTCTACAGAGTATATCATCTTTCTAATCAGAAAAAACAAAGCGATTTTCATTTGGAAAACCTCAGAAAGCTCTGTTGCTAGTCCCCTTATGGTAATACACAGTAAGAAAGAAAACTTATTTCCCATCATAAGGATTCTCTATCAGACTGATAGACCTTAAATATCTAGACTTCCACTTCATCTTAAATCTAAAGAAAAGGTTTCAACATTGTTTTAGGAAACTATTCCCCAAAACAGAAGCCCACCATCAATGCACAAGCTAGTGTTACTGACACCAGCAATAAAGTTATGCTTCTACTTGTCAAGTATGCTAAAAACCACACGTTGTTAAAAAACAGAAACAAAAACAAAAAACCCAGCCAAACCAAACCAAACGTATAACAAAAAACACGTGTAGCCCTTATTAAACGTCTACATTCTAATAACTGAAAGACTGTGCTGTACACTGGAAATTGACACAATATTGTAAAATGACTATAACTCAATAAAGAAAGTTTAAAAAAAGTTTACATTCTAAAGTAAATGCTTCTTGGAAAGTATGAAAAATCATATTGCCCAACCTATTTTAAAAAACAATATAATTTCCTATCTACCTATTAAGCTCAGAAATCAATCTGGAAACCATACAGTACAATAGAAAGAATGTGATCCCAGGAAACAAAGAGTACCAAGCCTGGCTCTTCGCCCTGCCAGGAGCACAATCATGGTCCATTTACTTAACTTCTTTATACTTCGGTTTCCTCATCTATAAAATGATGATACTACGAATGATTGTTGAGAGGCCTAATTGTATTATTATGTATAAAGTCCCAGCTTTATATACCTACCACATGCCTAGTTTGTAATGAGAAACAAATGCTAACTCCTATACCTTTATACTCAAAACGAGAACACATGTCACCATTTCTTTTGTGAAGCATTTCCTGGGCTTCCCTATGAATGCTTCTGAGTTCTGCTTTCATAACACTCCAGCCACAACTTAATGTTTGTCAGCCCTCAATAACAAGAACTTCTCCAGAGTAAGAACTATATTATATCTTATTCATGCTTTCAGCACCTAACACAGTGCCTAGCATAGGGTAAACACATAAAAATCAGCAGAATGGATGGATAAAGAAAGAAATACAGTCATGGAATTTATCAAAACATCTATAACAAAAAAAGTTCATTCTAGGATATAGCTCTCTCACTATTAAAGTCAAATCAACGAACCAGAAAAGCTTATGAAAAAGAAGTTAAAATTAAACCAATTCCTTCAGAAAGGCTAAACCAAAAAGTGAGCCATAGTACTGATACACATTAAATCAGTGACAGAACGTTAACATAAAATTGAAAAAAATCTGTCTTTTGATAGTTTCTTAGCTCCTGCTATATATATTTCAAATTCAAATAACTAAAATTGTCAAAACAAGTAACATACACAACACACAGGCGAGCCAGGTGAGAGTCAGGAAAAAAATGATTGGTTCTCCCTTGGCCATCAACAAAACAGATCTGTGAAATTCCTGAAATAGTCTAAGAAAACTTCCTAGAGGGAATAAAAGAAAGGCTCTGGAATAGAAGAAAAAGTAACAGAAGAGCACACAACAGAACAAACCAAGGAAAAAAAGAGTAAAGTAATTTAGTCTCATTTGAAAAACTGAAAAACAAGAAAGGGTTATCAACGCAAATAACTAAATTAACATTTCACCAAAATCTACATGGGGGAAACTTCAATTAAAGTTGAGAACTTAAATTTGTTCAAAATATGTCTAAAGAAAAATTACTTAAAAGTACACGCAATCCAGTATCTTCTAAAAAAAAGTGCTATTAGACCTACCTGACTGGAGCTTTATGGTTCTTTAACTATCATGCTAATTATGTAAATGCAAGTGATGATGCTGATAGTATTTGAAAACTATTTGGTTTCTTAATTTAAAATTACATTAGCACTAAAATTGTTTACCCACTTAAGTGCACAGCAAAAGATGTTTTAACATAAAGGTAAGTGTAAATAGAAAGAACCATACAATCTAAATTAGGAAAGTGTAAACTAAGGAGGCTTTGGAGAATCATAAAGTTATTTGTTTAATTACTGAGCAATTTTTAATTCAGAATCTCTTTGTACCCTTAGAGTCCCTAAATTATCATGTGAAACTTATTAAAAATTAAAATATTCTAGATCATGATAAACATTTAATTTCTGTACATTTTAGTTCAAAGAAAAAGCAATAAAATTGGGGACATGGGTTGACTTTCTAAAAGGTACTCTTTCCTTCTATCCTGATTTAAAAAAAAATAAATCCCACAATCAGTTTTGGGAAAAATATCTTTAGTTGACAAATAACTCCATTTATTACCACACAAAAACATATACACAGTAAAAGCTTTCCAGAATTGTCCAGTGAACAGAAAAACAAAGCCCTCAAGGTTAAAATCATAATTTAAAATATACTATAATTCTAACCATAAAGTAGTAAAAACCACTCTAAATTAAAAGAAATTTGATATAAATTGCTTACATTGTAAAATGAAGATAAGGTTTATGTACAGCAGCAGCTGATGACTGTTTCTTTGGTGATCCTGAGTGACAACTTGTCTCAAAAATTGATAAAGCATTCTCATCTTCACTATCATCTAAAATTAGAGTTTCTATATCTGTTCAAAAAAAAATCATAAAGATTATGAGGCTTAAGAAGTCACTTAATATTAGTGCCCTACCAAAGCTAAGGAAAATTGGTTTAAAAACCAAGTGACAATAACTAAGTTATCTAACAAATAATACAGATTGATCAGGCAAACTGACAAATTACAGTATTTTGAATAATTTATAAATGGAACTAATGTAATTCTCTCACCTTTACAGACTACTTAAGTGTTACGAGATGCAATTTGGGAGACTGACTAACTACAAGAAGTCTGGAAAAGAAATGGCACTCTCGTAAAATATCCATCTACTTACTAGTTATCTCTAAGGTAATTCTGACCAGAACCAATACATTTAATATAAGATATTTGGTTTAATTAATAGAGCAATTGCATTATGGCCCAATTCTTACAAAAGCAACAAGGAACAAATTGATACTTATTTTTTCACATTTTCTATACATACATTTCAAGGAATATCTAGTCTAGTTAAGAAGGGACTCAAGAATTCAATTAAAAACAAAGCCAATCTAAAAAAATGCACTCATTCAAGTAAGATTAAGTCTCTAGATGGGTCTTAAGTTATTGCTCAATGGAGTAACTAGAACTAAAATTCTTATTGAGTGCAAGTGCACCATACTTAAAAATTTACCTGGACTACAACCTGAAGTATTAATAGCTGTACTTCACACATACCTAACAAAAGTGTCCATGCATTCATTCAACAAAAAGCAATGCTACATCTGTAGGAGAAATGTGAGGGCATTAAGATGAAGAGAAACCATATCCTTGCCCTCAAAAACCAAAGAAAAAGAGGCATACTTTCTAAAATAAGATATTGAATTGTGCTGGCAGACACACATTTCAGTGGCTTTTAAGAACTAAATATTTAATACAACTAATATTGTAAAAGTTAACCTGAAAAATAATTGAGTACCTTTTGAGTGATAATTTCATATACAAGGAAAGGATATTTATCCAAAAAAAAACCTGAAGACAAAACAAACCAGAATAATATTTCTAAATATAGACATATTTTTAACTAAAAACAATTATTTATCATCAAAGAAACTTTGGCTTCTCTTCTCCACAGTATACAAAGGGAAAAAATGAAACTAAAGAATACTTCATACTTATAAAAAAAAAAGGTAAGAAAACACAGATAATTATGCCACCAAAAATCTTCAAATGAAATAAAGGGAAGGTCAGATTGTCATGATTTTCCAAAGGTAACACAGTTTTTTAAAAAATAAAAAATTGGGGGGAAAGATACAAATCCTCAGTTATGAAAATCAGATAAGAAACATGCTATTCATGGCAAAGTAGCTGGACCACACATATTTGTTCTCCTCCCTACTTGACAAATTTAAGAAATCAAGTAATCCATGTGATATTTCATGAGAATCTTCCCCAAAAAATAAAGTTTCTGAAAAATATACTTATGCCAGCAAAATTCACTGAATATTGATGATTTTTACTACATATAATAGTTTTAATGTTACCATAATTCACTAAACAATTTTCTGTTTGGTGCAGACTACATGACAAACAAGGTACTAGAAACTGGGAAAATTAAGGTAATTTTTTAAAATTACTGTCTCTTCAAAGTACATGGGCTTCATTCTAATTAGCATATGAACCTAAAGTTTCCTGTAAATGAGGAACATTTTTACAAGTAGGTTTCTGTTTTTATCTCAGATCCAAACTACAACCTTGAGTCCAGAATTCAAGACCTTCTGTAATGAGGTTCTAATTTACTCCCTTACTAATAGTTTACACTCCAGCACACAGCAGAGTGCGCTGCCAATAACAACAATTTGATGAGATGAATCCAGAGGAGCATTATAGCAACATAGTTAAGAGCATTAGCTCTGGAATCAGGCATCCTGGGTTTGAGCAAGCCCTAGAACTTACTAAGTGACCCTATGTGAGTGAATACCTTCCTCTTTTATAGAATAAGAGTACCCATCCCACAGGACTGTTATGCAGATTAATAAATGACAATTTATGTAAGGGCTTTATAATAATTAAATAAATGTAAGCCATTATTATTATAGTCAACTTTTCTAAAGACAGTAACACTCCTACAACAAGATAGTCAGAATGGCCCAAGAGTGAGCAAACAGAACAAATATCCATTCACTGTTTTCAGAGACACTGACTAGCCAACTACTGTATGCCAGGCGATATGCTAGGCCTATAATATACAGTGGTGAATGAAACAGATTCATTTTCTATATTCATGGCAAATATAAAAGAGTAACACATAAATAACTTTATAAGGAAACTCAGAATTTTTTTTATTTATGCATGTATTTGTTTCATTTTAAAAGTATGAAAAAGTAATTTATACTACCTTCTTTCTTGTCACTCTGGCTAATTTCAGCATGAGGAAACACTTTCTGCAAGACTGCCAGGATGCTGTTGAAACTTCTTTCCAGCAGTGGCCTTATGATGGGGGATAGTGCATGTCCCGAAGACATGACAGCACGCTGGGAAGCAGGCACAATATTCTGCATTGCGTGGTAAAAATCCTGGGCATTGAGCACTATTGAGGAAACATCCAGCTGCAGTTTATGACTGCTAGCATAGATCTGGGGGTAACGCCTCCGCAGGGCAATCAGGGCAGCTTCAGTGCACAGGGCCTTGATGTCAGCTCCGCAATAGCCTAATGCACAAAAGGAAAAGGACAACATGGTAAGTTCATTTTTTCAAGTACCAACTATGTCTTACAAAGACACACATCTTTAAGAAAACAATTAACACTAAATCAATCATTATATGCAAATCTATCAGCAAAATGAAAACTGACCATTTAAAACAACCTAATGAAACTGTTTACTCATAAAGACTAAAAATGTTTTGAATGCTTTAATTAACAAACACATGAACTAATGATATTAAAAGAAAACAAAGTCATGTATTTTGTGCTAAAACCACTGATTATAATGTATAACTTTCTTCAGGAAAGATTTTAAAAGAGTAATAGTTTCATATCAATCCTTCATCAATATTCCCAATCACTAGTTTAGTCCTTATGACATTATAGTTCCCTATAAATTTTTCTAATATTACTAATTTCCAAACACATATAATTGAGCAGTACAAAGTAGTATACATAAGCTGAAGCTTCAGAATCAGAGCTTTTCTACTACCAACTGAGTGCAACCCATTAGCAAATTAATAACTAATTACTCCAAAACTATCAAGTTGTGATCATCTCTGATAGTTCCAAAGATATTAAAGGGAATGAGCATGCACTAACTCTCTACATTAATTCCCTTTATATATATATATATATATATTTTTTTTTTTTTAGCTTAAGATGACTGATAATCTAGCCCAAAGGCTTAAGAGATATGGGGTATCAACCATTACCCATATTTAACTGATCATGTAGTTAACAAATCAAGTCCACAGTGCTCTTAAGTCATTTCATTCATTTGAGCAACAAACATGTACAAAGACATTTGAACTGTTAGGTCTTTACCACAAAAAGGAAGAAAAACTCAAACTCATCATGTTTTTTTATATCACTAATTAAACCTGCATCTGGCCACCTTTATCAGTTATGCCAGCAGGGGGAACCACCTGAACAAGTTACAGACTGTGTAACTAAGCTCTTTAAAGAGTGGTATCAGGTTTATTTATTTTTTTTTTTATACCTCACAATGACCTTGTAGAACACTTATATACTGAAATAAAAATGGTGATTAGACAGGAAGACTAAGAGCAGAGAAGAAAGTGCCCCAAACTAACTGGAAGAAAAAGAACATTGAGGGAAAAAACCATATAAATCATGCCAAATCACACATCTATAATGAACTTCATCCCTATTATTAGTAGGGCAAATGATCGTGTTAACCAAGCTCTACATGTAACAGAAAACTTCTCTTCACCCTGCTCTCCTTTTTCCACTGCACTTACCATCTTTTCATTTACCTAGTGTGTTTATTGTCTGCCTCCCTCAACCAGAATGTGAGCTCTGTCAGAATAGGGGTATTTATCTGTTTTGCTCACTAAATATATCTCAAAAACCAAGAACAAGGCCTGGCCTGGCATTCAGTAAATATTTCTTGAGTGAAAGAATGAATGAAAAAGAGAAGAGTAACTCCAAGACAGCTTGGGAAGGTAAAACCATTAGGTTACCATGCACTACCAAAAAGAAGTGGATGAATATACTGGGCTTTTCATTTGTTTCTAAGAAAGCTAAATTCTTTTACCATTAAGCCAACTTAGTGTTATTAAAAATTTCAATGATAATTATGAAGTACTGTATTCTTAAAGAAACATGTATATAGAAGTAGGGGGAAACTTAATATGAGCTGTTAGAATTTAATTCAAAAAACTATAAGCAAATCAAGCATTAACACTGTCTCAGGACAGCAGTCAATCTCCCAAATAATTCTTCAAAATAACCAAGTTTACTATTAGTCTCTCACATTATTTTCTATTTCTCCATGAATAAACCTGCAAAAGCCTAAGTTAAAAAGGAAAAAAAATTCAAAAACTAATGTAGAACAGAAAAAAGCCACTAAAAGGTATTTTATGTAGTAAATGTTGCCCATAACATTTATTTTTGACATAATATGTTAACAACATACATAACAGCAATGTATTGTGCATTTTTCTTAATTTATTAAAGAGAATTTAGAAGTTTATCAACAATAATAGAGTCCATTTAAAGAAGTAAATTTTTACACAGATTATCATAACCAATCACTTATAAACAATAGGATTTATTTTCTTTACATTTGCTTGTGAATGAGAATTACTAGTTTATATCTGCAGTTGTCAACCTTGATTACTCATCTGGAAAAATAATGAAAATGAATCAAAAATAGATTCCCAACAAACTGGGTGAATCAGAATCTCTGGTGAATGAATATCATAAATGTGTATTTTGAGAGAGCTTTACAACTGATTCTGATATACAAAAAAACTGAGAAATATTAAATTAATACCTTTATAATAATACCTTTATAAAAGAAATAATAATTTCTTTACTAGACTCTAAAACAGAATTAAAGGTTCATCATAACCATGGCTAAACAGGTTGTTAAGAGTGACAACATGTCCAGGTATAGGCCGCCTGCCTCGTCATAATCAACAATGTATTTTTTTCACTCTCAAAAGGGTCTTGGTTTAGGAAAATAGATGATATGACCATTCTAGAAACACTGAAAATATACTACAGCCTTTTGAGAGTTAAAAGTTGCTACAGATATCAATATCCCTTCCATAACCATACTAATTCTATCCATTACAATTCTAATACTCTGATGAATACATTTATCTCAGTATCAAAGAAAAAGTATTCTTGAATACTGCTATTAAGATGAAATTTGAAAGACTAAAAATACAAGCTATTCAAAGAGGTTACAAACTAGAAAAAGGCAACAAAATTTTATGAAGTTATATATTTTTTTTAATGGAGGTACTTGGGATGGAATCCAGGACCTTGTGTATGCTAAGCATGTACTCTGCCACTGAGCTATACTCACCCCTATGAAGTTACTTTTTAAGTAAAATACCAAACAACTGATAATGAAAGTGTATTTATCTCACTGATAAATTTGGCCCTCAGTGAAAATGAATAGACAAATATAATTAGGTTTAAGCTCTTCTTTAACCTTAAGCTCATACTATTTGTACAGATGTTCTGCATACCAAAATTATGTGAAGACTACAAAAAATCACAACTATAATGCATGCAAACACCTCCAAGTACTTGGGAATTCATTTAAAGGTAAAAGTTACCAAATCCATAACCTCTAACAAGAGGTAAGCTAACTTTGCAGCTGTCCAGCAAGACTGCATAGTCATTTGTTAGGCATAAATTTCACTCAACCAAACCCATACATGTTAAACCATTTTGGGGATAAATAAGTGCTAAGTTTATAAAGAATTTAAAATTTATTGCTATTTCATCCTGTTTGAACACCTGCACATGTTTTGTTTTGTTTTTTAATGTGAACTGGTTTCTTGGAAGGAACAATGTCACGATCAAAAACAGAAGTCAGTTAATTAGAATGGATTTTTGTCACTCTCCAGGAAGAAAATGAAGTATATATAAGCAGATTCTAAACCACCAATGCCACTCTCAAAAAAAGGCAAAAGAAGTTTTTCAGTCCTATAAGAAAGTATGTCTCAAAAATTTTTTAACCTAAGAAACTGAAGCTAAAATAAATCACTTGGAAAAATGAGAAGTAGTGGCCTCTGAAAATGAAAAAGGAATCTAAGAGTCTAATATTTAGGATGAAGAATTAGAGTGTATAATATTTCAGATGATAGGGTAACAGAAATTAATTTAAAAATTACTTTTAGGGAATGTACAAAATTATTTGAAGACTTCTGCTTATTTCAGTTAAGGATCATTCTGTGACAAATTCACAGAAGAATCTACAAAGATTTCCCATTCTGATCTATATCCTAATACAATAATATGATAAAAGTAGCAGGAAATAAAAGGGGACAAATTTCAAAAAGGGAAAAGACTGGATTGTGTACCAAATACCACCCTCTCCCATAAAGCAGCACAAGGCTTTGCAAAGGTCAAGCCAAATTTACATGAAATGGTTTTGGCGCATGCTTTCTTATACCAGGCAAAGCTTAAACTGGAGTAGTGCTGGAGAGATTTACGTTTTCTCCTCACCAGAAGATGTCGAGGTCTTTGTGGTTCAAAAGCTGAGGGATGCTGCTTCGGAGATGGAGGTCCCTGTGGATGAAGAGGATAATTCGGATGTAGCTAACTGAATGGACTAATGTTCTATTTAAGTTTTAATTATTTGATGGTGGACCACAGTGATTTTTTTAACTAAGTCATTCTTTTTGGTTTTGGTAACTTTAAAGTTTTCCCAAGTAGACTGTTCACTGTTAATGGACTTATTTGAGGGATTTCGTCATATTGTTTAAAAAGTTCATGGAGAGAGATTTTTTATTTTTAACTCATATTTTTTGAGAGAATGAGAGTAAAATAGACAAAAGACAGAAAAAGAATGGAGGAAAAATACCTGTGTGTACATTCAGTTGCTTAATACCATATTCATTTTAATTTTAGTCCTAACAGAGCCAAAATCTTGAATTCTAAAACCTCTGAATTCCATCTCCTATGAATAACCATGTATGTAGATATAACCCTCTGACCATATCCTTTTAGGACAGTAATGTTCATTCACTCCATGGGAAATCTACTGTGATTAATATAACATTAAGTTGGAAAGTTTTAGATTTTGGGAAATATTAACAGGTACCATTAAAGTATTTTCTTTGACGATTCCTCTCACTCAACTTCTTTTTTAGGCCACAGGCATGAGGATGAGTCCATCATGTAATCTGCAAAGTAAAAGACTACAGACCTGCCCTGACCTTTATCTCTTAAGCTTAAGCTTACTTTTCTTAATAAAATTTCTGAAAGGGGACAATTCCTAAAAGAAGACATTGCAGTAATAACATGGAAATCCAGCAATCAATGAAAGGTGTATTAATACTGAGCTTTGTGAATCAAAACACTTAATGGCAGCTAAAATTCTAATTTACAAGTGTTCGAGTGAAATGTTTAAAATAATTTTTACATTTGAAGGCAAAGCCATCTATTGCACAAAAATGTAACTATACTCTTTCACATTCCAAAGATAAGGGGAAAGGGAGGCTGAGCAGAACAAACAATAACAATCAAGAAATTCAAATAGTAGCACTCACCAACACATTTTTCAGCCAATTCACCTAAAAAAGCATCTGACAATTTTGGATTCCAGTCCCTGGTATGGATCTGTAAAATGTGTTTTCTTGCCTAAGAAGGAAAGCACAGATAAATAAAATCTTGCCTAAGAAAAAAGTACAAGTAAACAAAATATCATCAACCCCTCAAAAGTATTAGCTGGAACAAATTAATGAAATAAACATATCCCAGAAAAGCAACTGTTTATTTTTAAAAGAAACTTTTAACACCTTGGCACCTGCATCAACTCTGACTCCCGTAATAACTCCATGAGTTATGTAGTAGAGAGCTTGTCTCTGTTTCACAAACTAAGACATTTAATATTCTAAGAGGTCAAGGAACTTCACTAGTGGCACATATGACTATGTGACTGATCTAGGAACAGAATTAAAAACTAAATTTGACTTTCCGCCACATCATTTTTAACATGTGAAAAGATATAAACAAAAGCTTTAACATGTTATGATAATCTTAACTTTTAAACAAACTTTATATTTAGATTTCACAGATCTTTTGGTTCTAATATGCATTAAAGTATCATGACTGACAATGAGCTAAAGGACAGGTAATTTTAAAACTTGAAAAAAAAGTTTTAAGTTGAAAAAGTTTTCAATTAAGAAACATAATGTTTATTGTCATCTTGTTAGTTGATGCTTTCACATTTAATATATAACAAGGTAATCTCCATATTAATTGAACTCACTGAATAAACCAAAGGTTTATAAAACCTTACTTTGACTTTTTATACTGCATTTTCTACATTGTACAGTCCTAGAAGCTCACTTGGGTAAAAAGATGATGCTGTATATACTATGTTTCCTAACCTGACAAAGCTAAATAAATGCCTGTAGGTTGCATTGTCAATCCAAAGCTGAGACAAATACAGTGGCTGTACAGACTGTCAGACTGAGGTATTAACTGCTCTGCACAGACTGCTCTGTACAGCAGAGCCACTGCATTCATTTCCCTATGGTCTTCTTTACTGTACTGATCACTAAGCCTCTCACATCTATGCACGTAAACCACACATTTCATAGAGATCCAAAATCAAAGCCATATAACAGCAAGTGTGTGTGTGTGTGTGTGTGTGTGTGTGTGTGTTATATATTCATATATAGTATCCTCTCTGCTCTCTTTAGGTTATATTTGTATAGGTATATATTATAAATGTTCTAGTTAGGTTTGGTGTGTTAAATCACATGGAAAGCACTGTCAAATATATTATCTTCTCTACATACGTCTGTCCCTCTCAAACTTTAATTCCCAGTTAAGATGACAGTCAACGAATAAACTGGTCAAATCAAGACTAACAAAATAATTTCAAGAAAAATAGGAAAAAACAACTTTGTATATTAAATACCATTTTACATAGTCAATGACTATGCATTGCCCTGTTTTAATTATACATTCTTTTAAAAATTACACTATAATGAATAGCATTTCATTTTAGCTGCTTTTAATTATGATGTTAGTCATTTCTTTGAAAATTTGCATATTGCACTCTTGTTCATAAAGCCACCAATATTCTAAAAATGTTATTTTTATGGGAATAAAACTAGTTTGGCTAACGAGGGACATATAAACTTCCTCACAAGATAATTACTACAATCTGGAGAACTAAAGAAAAGAGTAAGTAAGCATCTATACTAACACAATCAAGGATTTTACTCTTACTTCCTAAAAGTCATAAACTTTCTGATCATTGTTAAGAAAAAGACTTTTCAATAGTTAACAAGTTTCCTAAAGTTTAACTAAGACTCCTGATAAGCACAAAATTTTTTAAATGAAAATTCATAAAATTCCACTTTCAAAGTATATATATATATATATAGTGTGTGTGTGTGTGTGTGTGTATGTATGAATATATATACATATATATATACACACACACACAACACATATTTCATAATGGAATCACAAATACATTTTAATATATCAAAAACAGAAACCCTTACCTTTTGATCAGGGAGGTTGAAAAGAAATTCTCTATCAAAACGACCAGGTCTCCTGAGAGCGGGATCTATAGAATCAAGTCTATTTGTAGCACCAATAACAACAATTTCACCCCTATTGTCTAATCCATCCATAAGAGCAAGGAGGGTTGACACTATAGAGCTGTAACAAAATTTTCAGAAAAAATTAAAAATTTTTCAAAGGAAACAAAGAAAAATTTGTAAAAATCTGCTGCTTATACTAGCTTTTATCACTTTTAAATGCTAATAAAATGGATTTTTATATTTGTGTTCATAAGTAAAATTTGGTTCCAATAAACTTTCTCATATTGTTCTAAACAGGTTTTTTAAAGTCTTTTGAAGAACATACAATACACTGAACATAAAGTATACAATTTGATAAGTTCTGAAATATGTATTTACCTATGAAATTATCATCACAATGAAAATAAGTAACATACCCATTATACTCTTCCTCATGCCCTCTCTAATCCACCCTCACTGTTCCTTCTGACTTCTACCCAATCTCCTGGCAACTGCTGATCTGAGCTCTGTCACTATAAATTAGCCTGCATTATCTAAAATTTTATATAGCGTAAGTTTTTTTTTTTCCTGGATTCTTTCCCTTGGCATAATTATTTTAAAATTCACCACATAGTTGGTTTGATAATAGTTTATTCTTTTTGATTATTAAGCAGTATTCCATTTTATGGATATATCACAATTTCTTGATTCACATGTTGGGGGCCATTTCAGATTGTTTCCACTTTTGGGCTATTACCAAAAAAGTTATGAACATTCACATACAAGTCGTGAAGATTTTTCCCATAGGTTTTCTACCTAGAAGTTTTATACTTTTACCTCTTAAGCTTACACCTTTATCCTCTTAATCTTTAATGTTCACAGAATCTGAAACATCACATTTTGCATTCCTAACATTGCTTACCAGTGTCTTTTTTATCATGATCAATTGTACCAGAGGTTGGTCAATTTTATTATTTTTTTCAAAGAAGCAACTTTTGAATTTCTTGATTTTTGTGTATCTTTATTTGCAGTTCACATATTGTTAGCTATAGGTTTTTGTTTTATTAGCACCATAGGTTACTTAGAATTAGAGCAATAGTTCTTAATAACAAACATAAAGTCCTCTACTTATCTTTTTGTTATTTGTTTCTTACATTTTGTCTATTACTAAATTTTGGAAATTAGTTGTGATTTAAGGCACACTCAATCAATTTTTGTAAATGTTGTGTATGCTTGAAAATAGTATTCATGCTATGTTTGCCTTAGGTGAGTATGCCCACAAGATCAGATTCATAAAATATGGTTGTTCAAATAATCTAGAGGATTAATTTATTTTTTACTCATTTGGTCTATTAATTACTGAGAGGTACATGATATCTCTCACAATGATTATCAATATGACTTTTACTTGGCAGTTCTGTTAATTTTTGTTTTATATAGTGTGAAATGTAGTCATTAGGGAATTTTAAACTTTAAATTGCTACATCTCTCAACAAATTGAAGCTGTTATCATTATAAGGTGATCCTCCTCAGCAACAGTAACTTTCTGTAAGTATTTACCTGATGATGTAATTTTATACTATTTTATGAATTCGACCATTTCAGACACTTTATATAAATAAAATAGTACAATATGTGACTTTTTGTGTCTGGCTTTGTTTCACTTAGCATAAAGTATTTGGGGTTCACCGATGTTACATGTATAAGATAAACTGACAATATGGGTCAGAATTTCATTCCTTTTTGAGACTGAGTAATATTCCACCATATGACTATATCACATTTTATTTAATCATTCATCAGCTTATGGACATTTGAGTTATTTCTATGTTTTTGCTATTATGAATAACACTGCTAAGAGTATTTGTGACTAAGCTTTTCCATGCCTTTCCTCCACCACTTGGAATCTTTCTGTATTCTTATATGGAGATGTGTCTCTTCTGAACAAAACATCAGCATATTTTGTTTTTCCCCAGTCTGACAGTCTTTGTCTTTCAAAAAGAGCATTTAAGCCATTTACACTTCATGTAATTACTGACATATCTGAGTTTTAACTCTACAATTATATTTTGTGTTATTTCTCCCACTGCTTCTATGATTCTCCCTTCCCTTCTTGATTGCTTTTAGAATGATCTTTAAAAATTATTCTATTTTCCCCTACTAATAGTTTAGTAATTATACAATGTTTCTATTGTATTAGTGATTACTCTAGAATTTAAACCAAATACTTGGTACTCAAAGGTTTCACTTTCAAGTATGATGGATAAAAACCCTGCCGAACAACCCCTTGCTTCCCTTCAGAAAAAAACTACAAAATATGTACATAATAATACATAAGCATATACCTGAAGGAACCAGTGAGTAAATAGAAACAGATATATTCTGGTGGCAGTTCATGATCATTTGGAGGAAGGGAGACATAGAAATCAAATTGCCCTCTCTCTGGCCTTTAGCATGGGTCTGAGTACAGTGAGGTAGGAGAGGAAGATTATATGAGGAAACCCCTTAACTTTCCAGTCTGAGAGTTCAGAAAAGAGAAAGTAGAAAACCAGTAACACTGAAGAATGTGGTGATCCTACCAGGGCACAACCCAATGAAGATATTCCCACATCTCTGAACGATCCCTAACAAAGGCACAGAGCAATCAAAGGATCCAGCTAAAGACAATGATTTCAAAGGAGACCAATGCTGCCAGTCTAGAAATTGTCTGCATTTCAAATTGAACCCAGAAAATTATCTGCTAAAACAAAGGAAATATTACTCATAAAAGAATAATAATAGAATCCAGAGGCTCCACAAACTAACATTACTAAGTTAACCCAAACAAAACTGCCCAACAAATCAAGAACCAAAACAGAACATATTTTTAAGAGAAAAAAAATATCAAACAGGCCTAACAGTGAGATGAACCAGATACTGAAACTAATACAAAAGGATTTTAAAGCAACTATTATCAACTAACATTGGTGAAGTAAAACAAAACATGTTTAAATTCATGAAAATCACAGTGGAAAAAATAGATAACGAAAAAGAATCAAACGTTAAGTCTTACAACTGAAATATAAACTTTCTGAAATACGAAATGTATTGGCCATACATAATAGCAAAATAGACATGAAAAGGAAAGTGAAGATTGATTGACGATCAATAAAAAATTATCCAAACTGAAGAGAGAAGATGACTCAAAAAAGACAAATTTGCAGATACATAACACCAATCAAAACAAACACAAAACCCATATTGAGGCGTATCATGGCTAAATTGCTAAAAACCAAAGATATAGAGCAAAAGCAGCGAGAGAAAAACAACATACTATTAAGCATGGGAACAATGATCCCAATAATAGCTTTCCACTTCTGGGCTGCAATGTAATGAAGATAAAATTCTGGTAGAGATCAGCTGACTCATTAAGTGGAAGAGACAGAGCTGAGATTCCAGGGAGACCACGATCCTAAGAAAGGGAACCAGAGGTGAGACCACTACACACGAAGAGAACTTAGGAAATATACACAGGACCCTTCAGGAATTCAGATAAATACTGATAAGTGTATGTGAGGAAATTACTCAAGGCTTATGAAAAAAACACCCAGAAGGACTAGAAGAAACAGTATTTCACACTGACAGAGAGCCAGGAATATTGCCAGTTCCCATAAGCCAGACTGGTAAACCTCATGATTCACAGGTCACTGCGTCAAATACACAGAAGGACTTTCCTTCATTAGTGAGGAATAATTAGCCCTACACTGAAGACTACTCCAGATCCACATAACAAATCTTAAAAGCAAAACTCAAAAGAATCAAATTGTTTTCAGGTAAATTAACTGTCTTAAAAAAATAAAATTAAAAAACCTCAAGAATATTTATTGATAATATCATGTCTAGCACTCAACAAGGCAAAAATTTATGTCTGGCATGCAATAAAAGTTGCCAGGTACACAAAGAAGTTGGAAAATAGTCCACAAGGAAACAATAAAATGAATTTAAAAAACCAACCCAGAACTGACTAAAATATTAGAATTACCAGATAAGGACATTAATTACTATAATCATATTACATATGTTAAAAATAGACCCAAATAGAACTTCTAGAGATAAAATTTAAAATATGAAGGAGAAAAATATAACAAAGGGGATTAAAACAGACTAGACATTGAGGAAGAAAAGATGAGTGAGCTAGAAGACAGAGCAACAGAAACTACCTAATACGAAACATAGAAAAGGTAGTTTAAAGCAAAATTAATGAATCATCAGTGAACTGCGGAATATAAGCAACTTAACATAGGTGTAATTGGAGGTCCACAAAGAGAGAGACAGGAACAAGGGAGACAGAAAAAATATTTTAAGAAATAATGGACAAAAACATTACAGCTATGATGAAAACTAGAAGCTCACAGATTTAAGCAGCTCAATTCAAGAATAAGAATATTCTACCAAAGAACATCCGTAAACAAATTGCACAAAGCCACTGATGAAGAAGAAAAAACTAAAAGCACTCATAGGAAAAAGATACATTACAAAACAAAGAAACAAAGGTAACAAAAGAACTCTACTGAAACAATACGAAGAAGATAGGGACCAACATCTTTAAAGTACTGAAGGGAAAAAAAAAAAAGTGTAAAACTTGAATTCTATGCCCAGAGAAAAATCTTCAAAAACAGACTAAAAATAGCTACCTATTTTTAGTAATAAGTAATAGTAAATAAGGAAATTGGAACATTTTCACAACAGATACAAAAATGAACTGAAAGTAGATTAAAGACCTAAATGTGAGACCAGAACCAGAAACTCCTAGAAAAAACCATAGGCAACACTTTCTTTGACATAAGTCTTAGCAATTTTTTTTTTTGCATGTCTCCTCAGGAAAGGGAAACAGAAGCAAAAATAAACAAACAAGACCTAATTAAAGTTAAAAGCTTTTGCACAGCAAAGGAAACCATCAAAAAAAAAGACAACCTACTGAATAGGAGAAGGTATTTGCCAACGATGTGTCTGGTAAGGGGTTAATATCCAAAATATATAAACAGCTCACACAGCTCAATATAAAAAATAAACAACACAATTAAAAAGTGGACAGAAGACCTGAATAGATATTTTTCCAAAGAAGACACAAAGATGGCCAACAGGCACACAAAAAGATGTTCAACATCACTAATCATCAAGGAAATGGAAATCAAAGCCACAATGAGATATCACCTTACACCTGTCAAAATGGCTATTATCAAAAAGAGAATAAATAATAAATGTTGGCAAGGATGTGGAGAATTGGGAACCCTAGTGATTAGTGGGAATGTAAAGTGGTACAGCCACTATGCAAAACATTATGGAGGTTCTTCAAAAAATTAAAAATAGAACTACCATACAATTCAGCAATTCTATTCCTGGTATTTATCTGTAAAAAATGAAAATACTAATTCAAAAAGATATATACACTTCAATGTTCACAGCACTGTTATTTACAATAGCCAAGATATGGAAGTAGCCTAAGTGTCCATCAACAGACAAATATATAAAGATGTAGTGTATAGACACACACATACACATATATACACACAATATATAACTATAAAATTGTATATATATATTCTATATATACATATATAGAATACATATAATATATACATATACGTATATATGTATATATACATATATATAATACATATAATAATATAATATATATACATATATATAATACATATATATAATATATACACACATATATATATAATACACACATATATACATACACATACAGTCATAAAAAAGAGTGAAATTTTACCACCTGCAACAACAAGGACAGACCTGGAGAATATTATGATTAATGAAGTAAGTCAGACAGAGAAAGACAAATGCTGTATGTTTTCACTTCTATGTGGAATCCAAAAACCCAAAACAAATATAACAAAATAGAAACAGATTCATAGAGAACAAACTAGAGGTTACCAGTGAAGAGAGGGGCAAGACAGTGGAAGGGGATTAAGAGGTACAAACTACTAGGTATAAAATAAATAAGATACAAGGATATAATATACAGCACAGAGGATATAATCAATATTTTATAATAATTTTAATGGAGTATAGGTTATAAAAATACCAAATTACTATGTTGCACAACTTGAAACTAATATAATATTGTAAATCAACTATACTTCAATAAAAAAAGAAAAACACAGGCTAAGCGTCTCAAAAAGTTAAACATAAAACTAGTACACAGCCTAGAAATTCTACTTCTAGGTATCTACCCAAAAGAAATGAAAATATATGTCCACAGAAAGATGTGCACATGAATATTCATAGCACCATCATTCATAATAGTTCAAACTGGAAACAACCAGATGTACCTAATGTGTAGTATACCATATAATTAACACTATTCAGCAATAAAAAGGATGTATTTACTGACATGTGCTAAATCATAGATGTTCCTCAAAACCATCATACTTAGTCAAAGAAACCAGACACACGAGATCACATACTATATGATCCCATTTATATGAAATGTCCAGAAAAGACAAGTTTGTAGAGACAGATTACTGGTAGATTACTAGTTGGCTGGGGAAAAGGAGGTGGGGGGTGCAGTAACAAGGATTTACTGCAAAAACACATGATGGCTATTATAGGGGGAAGGAAAAGGTACTAAAACTGATTTATTCTAATGTTTGCACCATTCAGGATAGTTATTTTAAAAATCATTGACTTTTACACTGGAAATGGATGAATGTTACAATACACAACTCAATAAAATAAATTTTAAAGGTTAAATAAAGGCTTTTACTGATATGGAAACATGAAAGAATTTATGCCCTGTGGACCTTGGACCTACTATAAGAAATACAGGCAGAAAGAAAATTATAGCACATAGAAATACAGATATCCATGAAAAAATAAAGAAAATCAGAAATGATAACTACATGAGTAATTCTTTAAGATATTATTATCATCATCATTTAAATCTCTTTAAAAGACTGTATGGTATAAAAAACATGTATGACAATAAGATAACAAAACTCAAGAGAAGAAACAGGGCAAGTGCACTATTTTAAGGTTTTCCACTACATGTGAAGTGGTAGATACTCGAAGGTAGATGGTACGAAGTTAAAGACATACACTATAAACCTTAAAACTACCATGAAAGTAATAAAACAGTCATAACTAATAAGCTAACAAAAGAAATATAATGAAGTCATAAAAATATTCAAGTAATCCAAAAGAAGGAAGAACAAGAAAAAATGGAACAGGAAACAGATGGACAAATAGATAGCCATCATAAAGATGATAAACTTAAACCTAAATATATCTATAGTCACATTAACTGTAAATGCCTATTTTGGTGGAAATGGGTATATTCATTATCTTCACTATAGTTACAATTTCACAGGAATATACATACGTTAAAAATTACCAAGTGTACTCTAAGTATGTCAATGCTTAAATGCTTTATGTAGTATAATGCTTTTATGTAGTATATATTGTGTATCAATTATACCTCAATAAAGCAGCTTTAAAAAACTCAATAGTAAAATAAAAAGGAGATTCTAAAAGGCCTTCAAAAATTCTTTTTAGAAAAGCAATAAATGAGAAACATAAAACAGACAAATAGAAAACATGAAATGGTAATGCCCAACTCATCCATGTCCATAATTACATAAAAAGTAATACATTAAATAATCAAATTAAACTGAAGAGATTGTCAGATTAAGAAAATAAGACCCAACTATATATTATCTATAAGGGAAACACTAAATATAAAGACACTAAAAGGTAGATAGTAATAAATTAAGAGAAAAAAATGTGACAAGCAAAAAACATCAGAAGTCTGGATTAGCTTAATTATTATCTAATGAACATAGATTTCAAAATAAAATGTATTAAAAAAAGATAAAGGGGTACATTTCATAATAAGAAGGGAACTTCAAAATAAAGACATACAATAATACATGTGTTATGCACCCAATACAAAACTTCAAAATAAATGAAACAAAAACCAGTAGAACTAAAGAAGCAATTCTACAATCATAGTTGGACATTTTAACACATCTCTCTGCCACTCATAAAATAACGAGACAAAAAAATCAGGAAAAACACAAAAGATCCTGCATAACATTATTACAACCTTGTCTTACTTGATATATATATATATATATATATATATATATATATATAGAATACTATACCACAAACAGAAGAATACAAATTCATAAGACAGACAATACCTGGGACGTAAAGGAAACAGCAGTGAATTTAAAATGACTGTAAGAGTTATGGTCTCTGATGACAATAATATTAGAGAAACTAATATAATGTTTTATGTAAATTATATCTTAACAAAAAATTAAATTATAAGTAAATAATAATCAGGAAAAAATAAAATTTGTAAATTAAACAACACACTTCTAAATAATCATTGTGTCAAAGAAGAAATACGAGAGGAATTGGAAATCACTTTGAACTGTGTGATAATAAATATAGAAGAGGTCAAAAACAGGAATGAAGCTAAAGTAGTACTTAAAAGTAAACTTAGAGCTTTCAGTGCCTATATTAGAAAAGAAAAAAGTTTCAATCAAAATCTAAAATTCCATCTTAATAATCTGGAAAAAGAAAAAACTAAACCCAAAGCAAAGAGGGAAAAATAAAAATAAAAGCTAACAAAAGTCATGGAGAGACCTTAAATGTATATTGCTAAGTGAAAGAAGCCAACCTAAAAGAGTACATACAGGATGATTACAACTACACAGCATTCTGGAAAGGACAAAACTATGTAGATAGTAAAACAATCAGTAGTGCCAAGGGCTGAGTGGGTAGGATGGTGAGGGAAAGGAGGGATAAGCAGATAGAGCATAGAGGATTTTTAGGATGGTGAAAATACTCTGTATAGTACTATAATGATAAATACATGTCATTATACATTTGCCCAAATTCATAAAGTGCACAACACCAAGAGTAACTATGGTCTTTGTGTGATTATGATAGGTCAGGTTCTTCAACAAATGTACCCTCTGATAAAAGATGCTGATAATGAGGGAGGCAATGTACATGTGCGGGCACAGAGTAAAGAGAAAATTTCTGTACCTTCCTCTCAATTTTGTTGTGAATTTAAAACTGCTCTTTAAAGAAGTTTTTTAAAAAAATTTTTAAAAACAAGATTGGAGAGGTCACACTAATTAGACTCAATACAAAGCTATTAAATAATCAAGGCAGTGGTGTAAGGATAAACCTAAAGATCAGTGAAACCAAGTAACAAGTTTAGGAACAGACAACTTGATGGCCAATTTCTGACAAAGATGTCAAGTAATTCTACAAAGACAAGGTATTCTTTTCCATTAACAGTCCTGAAACAACTGGAGAAAAAAATGGAAAAAATAAACTGCAGTGTATACCTTGAGCCATCTACAAAAATTAACTCAAGCCCTTACTTTATACTGACATATGTATGTTAACTTAAAATCAATCACTGACCAAAATTTAAGAGCTAAAACTACTAATAACAGAAGAAAATATAAAACTGTTGATAATCTGGTTTAAGCAATTATTCTCAAGACACACAAAAAAAATACACATAAAAAATTTTTATATCATGGGCTTCATCAAGATTAAAACCTTTTGTTTTTCAAAAAGTCATAGTTAAACAAGCAAAAAGACAAGCCAAACTAGTTGAAAACTTTTCAAAACATAGATCTGATGAGGGCTTACTTAAGTTTTGAGTATATAAAAAAAAATTTATAACACAGTAAGACATACAATATGACTTTTTTTAAAAGGGAATAAAATATTTTAAGAGACATTTCACAAAAGAAAATATATAAATGGGCAATAAGCACATGCTAAGAAGCTCAATATTGTTAGTCATTGGGAAAATGCAGATTAATCCCCTACTACATACTGACTAGAATGGAGAAAAGTAAACAGAATAAAAATACCAGCCCAAATCCTCATACATTACAGGGAAAAACATAAAATGGTAAACCACTTTGGGAAACAGTATCAACTTAAACATACATTTACCATAGGATCCAGCCATTCCTCTCTTAGTTATTTACTCAACAGAAATGAAAAGATATACGCACATGAAAATGTATATGTAAATGTTCACAGTAGTATTATCATAAAAGCCAAAAATAGAAGCAACCTAATTCATCTATCAGGTGAATTAACAATTGTGGTACATATACACACAGACACAGACACACACAGAGCCCAAGGAATACTACTCAAAAATAAAAAAGAACAAGATATTAGTATACGTGATGGATAAATCTCAAAAACATTATTCTAAGTCAGAATTAGGCAACTTTTTCTGTAAAGGGCTAGAAAGTAAATGTGTTAGGTTTTGCAAGCCATATGATTTTTCTCTCACAACTTCTCCTTTAACTCTGCTCTTGTAATGCAAAAGCAGCCATATATAATGCAAAAAGGAATGAGAGTGGCTGTGTTCCAATAAAACTTCATTTACAAAAGCAGTGAGTTTAGATTTGGCCCATAGGTTGTGGTTTGCTGACTCCTGTGCTAAAGAAGTCTTCCTCAAGAACACAGATCGTATCTTTTAAGCCTCATAGCACTTATCCAAGGGTTAAATCTAAATACTATGTCAACAAATGAAAAGAATTCAACATAATCAGATTAGGAAAAATTACCTGTGGATCTGATCTTGTCTGCTAGAGCGAACTGGCGCTAATCCATCTATCTCATCAAAAAATATTATAGATGGTCTCATCAAATATGCCTAGTATAAAAAGAAAACAAACATTATTATATTAGTTTTCATTTCTAATTTAATTACTCTGTTTTTCTAATAGGTAATATAACCAAATGGTACAACATACAGCAGGTAAGAAAGATTAAACAATAATAAGAAAGGCTCCTTACTACCCTAGTCTCCAACC